ATTCCGGTCAAGGGCGTGTATAGGGTGTCCCAAAATTCACGCAAGATTTGAATTTTGCGTGAGCATTAACAACAACAAAAATAAAAGCCTAATTTTACTTGGTTTATTGAATCAGATTCTAATATCTGTTGCCCTTTGATTTCAACCCTTCAATTTGATAAGCATTACCAAGTACCAATGATGGCCCAGGAGCAGGGACCATGAAGACCAATGAAGACCACGGCTTTGTGTATGTGCCAGCAAAACCTGGAGGCCACTGACCCGATGTGCTATTCCATACATAACCCTAGACTGTATACTTTATGAATCCATAAAAAATTTACAATTTTTAATTATAAACCTGTGTTTTCTATCAAAATTACTTCTTGCGTGAATTTTGGGACACCCTATACCTTGGTTGCGGGCACATCCCCAGTGGGGGGGGTGCAGGAGGCAGCTGGTCGATGTTTCTCTCTCATCGATGTTTCTAGCTCTCTATCCCTCTCCCTTCTTCTCTGTAAAAATCAATAAAATCTATTTTAAAAAAGAAAAAGAAAAACGTGTGAACCCCAAGAGGTGAGCAAGGGCCTCTGCCAGCTCAGGACTGCCTTTCCCGTCAGCCCCTGGCCTGCCTTCCAGACCTCCCCCGAAATACCAACACAGGACAGGGACCTCCTGCAAGCTGCCCCTGGGGAGGCTGCAGGGGAGACCCCGGCTGCCTGCACTGGGTCCTTACAGCCTTGGCACCTGGGACACGCCCCTCCCGTCTCTGTGCCTCAGTTTCCTCAGGGTGAAATGGAGGTGATCAGAGCTCTGCCGGGTAGGACTGTGTTAATGATTAAAAGAGTTAATAATAATCAGCACACTGCCAGGCCAAGCCCAGTAAATGTCAGCGACAGGAATGTAAATGTAACTCTAGCACAATCATGACACATTAGCCCCATATTCATCTTCTTCCCTCCCTTTCCCTCTCCACGGGACAGGACGGGGTGGGGTGGGGGGGGTCATGCCCTCCCAGTTCTTTTAAACGCTAGGGGCGTTCCCATTCGTTAGCTCCAGAATCATCTGGAAGGAAGGCCTCTCATAGGTGGGGCTGTGACATACATTTCTAACCCGGTGACCTCGGGTGTGTGGGTGCTGCAGATTTGCAAGGCACATTGAGAAACACTAAGGGCCTCAGTGCATCCGTGGAGGGGGTGCGGGTGGGGGTGGCCCCAACCTCCAGGGCCCTCCACTTACCCGGGGCCTCTCTGCACACCCGGGGGCCCTCCACACACCCCACCCGGGGGCCCTCCACACACCCAGGGCCTCTCTGCACACCCGGGGCCCTTCACACACCCCACCCGGGGGCCCTCCACACACCCCACCCGGGGGCCCTTCACACACCGGAGGGTGCTCAGGGAAACCAGCTCCGTGAGCCCGGCTGGCATGGCTCAGTGGTTGAGCCTGGAGCTATGAACCTGGAGGTCAGGGCGCATGCCCCGGTTGCAGACTCCATCCCCAGTGGGGGAAGTGCAGGAGGCAGCTGACCCATGACTCTCTCTCATCATTGATGTTTCTCTCTCTCCCTCTCCTTCCCTCTATGAAATCAATAAAAATAAAATAAAATAAGATAAATAAAATAAAATAATAAAATAAAATAAAAAATAAAATAAATTAAATAAAATAATTAAATAAAATAAATAACTTAAATAAATAAATAAATAAATAAATAAATAAATAAAATAAAATAAATAAATAAAACAAATAAATAAATAAAATAAAATAAGAAACCAGCTCCGTGAGACCAGGAGCCCCCTGGCAATCGGACTGGCCTGCCTCAGTGCCCAGGACACAGAGAACCCTCCACAAATGGTGCCGGAAAGGATGAGATCTGAGAGCCCAAGGCACCCCTAGAGAACCAACCCCCTGGAGACCAGCCCAGGGGCCTCCATCTCAGACTGTTGGCTGGACTGGAAGTGCCCCACCCCCATGAGCCCAGGACCCCGGGTCCCTCCGCCCCAGCGAGCAGTCTCCTCCATGTGCCCTGGGCCCTGAGTCCTTTGCCTCCAGGTACCTGTCACTCTGGGAAGGGGATGGAGCGTGGCTTCTGCTTCTCCCAGCACAGGCTGTGGCCCGCCGCGTGCCCTGGGGGCAGGGGAAGCCAGCTGCAATCAGGAAGCCCTTGTTCGTAAGCATTTCTGGTAAATCGCCCACAAAGATTTCAGCAGAGACAGAGCCCTCTGGCGAACTGTCATCTCTCTTTCTCTTCCTAAAGAAGGATTCCTGCACCCTGTGCTCCAATGACAGCATCGTAACCAAGCCACCCACACCTTTTTTTTTTTTACTATATATATCTTTTAATTGATTTCAGAGAGGAAGGGAGAGGGAGAAAGAGAGAAACATCAACAATGAGAGAGAATCATTGATCGGCTGCCTCCTGCACATCCCCCCACTGGGATCGAGCCCACAACCCGGGCATGTACCCCGACCAGAATCGAACCCAAGACCCTGCACTCTGCAGACCAATGCTCTATCCTCCAAGCCAAACCAGCGAGGGCCCAACCACACCTTTATAAACACCTTCCAGGCAGGATTTTAAATGCTCCTAAACAGGAGTTCAAGGTGTGTTATCAAGGTCACGGTCAAAAGCAAGACCCAGGCAGAACAGCCTGTCTGATCCTCCCAACATAGGCATAAAAACTTGCTTCAACAAAAAACACTCTCTTCAACTCCTGCTCCTAATCGTATATAATAAAGAGCTAATATGCTAATTAGACGGAACACCAGAACGACCGTCCAGACGACCTTCCGGACCAAGCCAGGGCTGCGAGGGCAGAGCCCCTTGCATAAATTTCATGCACCGGGCCTCTAGTTTAAGTATAAAACCCCTCAATTTTTGTGTGCAATCAGCAATGATTATAAGGGAGGATTTAAGAAAGCAAGTGTTCTCCGGGTCAGGAGATATTAATTAAAATGCTAGGCACTATTTTCATGCTCATCCCATACAACAGAGTCATTTTAATTGGAAAATCACTTTTGGGGTGTACACACACATAAAGAAATTGTTAGCTGTTATAGATCTGGTACTCACAGACTAAATTAGGGATCTCAGGATTTCTTTCCAAATAAGTTGTAGCAGTCTACCTTTCCAGAGATAGATTTAAGGAAAAATGGATACATCTTTGCATATAAATATTAGCGATAGTTATCGATATCTGATTATAGATTTTTACATAAACACAACGTCCTTCCTAGGAGACACTGTTCTCTATTCACTTGGAAGCTATGGAACAAATCACGCTGAATTATGTAAAGTCAAGCTGATTTATATAATTTATATAAACTTACAACTTATATAAGTGTGTATAAATTATAATATATATAAATATATGATATAAAATCAAGCTGACTTATATATAGTATCTAAGAATTGCAAATGTATAGATATTATATAAATCAAGCTGAATTAGATAAAGCACATGAATAATATGAAAATTCGCTGTGACTTCAATGCATGATCCACAAGGATATATTAGGGCCTTAAAAATATGTTAAGGAAGACACAGAATAAATCTTATTAAAAACAGCTGTTCTTGCCCCAGACTGGTCATGGTTTTAACCTCACGAGTAGAATGAAAACAGTGCTCGTTTTATTCATGAAGTTACTTTAACTCCCAGCATGCCGACTGTTGGATGAATGTGAATTTAAATTCTCATTGCCGTGCAATCGTCCAGATGTGCCATCTCACAGCGGCATGGAAGAGAGAAAACGCATGGGTTCCACAGCCAGAAATATCCACAATGAATTCCCAGGTCTACCAGTTACCTGGAACCAAATGTCAGCTTCTTCCCTGCCTCAGTTTCCCTTCCATACAGGGGCAGTAATAATATCTGCCTTGCATATTTTATGCCAGGAGATAAAGGGCCTAGTGAGGGCCCTGGGCAAAGGGTTGATGCTTAAAACCTTATTTAAGGGTGGTTTGGGTCCTCCTTGTCACTTTAAATGCCAGGCCAGGCCGATGACCTTCTTAGCTCTACCTCCTTAGCTGTGCCTTTCAATGCTTCTGACCTTCCATTCTTGCGACATGGAAGCAAACGCTCAATGAACCCTTTCTAGGTCTCTCTAAACCTCCACCTGCCCGGAAGGAGTGTCCTGACCCTCCCTTGTGTCAACACCTGCGCACACCTGCCCTGCTGGCTCAGAGGTCCCCCCCCCCCGCCCCCCAACAGACGCACAACAAATATTTGCTCAATGGAGAGGCTGCTGACCCGGGTGGAAAATGGATGCGAGTGGAAGTCACACTCCACGGCCCTGTTTGCGACTCGGGGTGTCGCTGAGGCAGGTTTCCAAGCCGTCTGGTCCCTGGAAGTGCCCTCCGCAAAGGTCACCCCCGTGCGCGCTCTGGGGAGCCTCTGGGCGCAGGAGCCGGTCCGCAGGTTCGCACCCGCTTTGGAGAAACGCGACCATTTGTAAAAGCCACCTGCGCGCTATTTGCCTACCAAATGGCCAGCGCGCTGGCGAACTCGCAATTTCCCCAACTTCACCACCATCACTTTTTTTCTTTCTTTTTCTTTTCTAAAGTGACGGCGCATCGGAACCCCCGCAGCTGCCAGACGTTCTGCTTCGGTGGCGCCGAGCCCAGGTCTGCGGAGGGGACCAGAGAGGAATCTCCGGGTCCCCCCTGCCCCCCGGGCACCGCATCGGACCCCGCCCCAGTGAGGGGCTGACCTCTGTAGAGTGTCCCGACGGTGGAGGTGGCGGTGGCGACCCCGCAGCCCGCCCCGAGGTGTCCTATCCAACGCGGGCAGGTCCCCACCGCCGCGTGCGCGCCCGGCACCCGCGCCTCGGGGTCCCGCCCCCCGCGCTCCGCACCCTCAGGCCCTGAGCCAGCTACTCCCCGGCGGTAGCTCCTCCGAGTCCCCTCCCCGGTCCCCATGTCGGCGGAGAGGGGAAGCCCCCCCGCAGGAGGGAGCTGGCAGGGCCCCCCGCGCCCGCCCGCGCGCACCCAGGTGAGCCGCGCCCCGCGCCCCGCGCTCACCTGTCCGGGGTCCGAGGCCGATCCCGGCTGCGCTGGGGGCTCCGTGCGCCCCTCACGTGCGCGGGACCTGCGCCGCCGTCGCCTCCGACGCCCGGACGCAGCGGGGCGGGGGCATCGCCGGGGCCGCCCCACTTCCTCGGCCCCCGCAGGCAGCCCCGCCTTCGGAGGGAGGAGGCGGCGCGTCACCTGGCAGCCGCCCGCGGTCCCAGAGGAGGGCGCGCCCGCCTGCGCTCCGGCTGATGCCAGAAGCGCCATCGCTGGGCTCTGGGCGCTGGGCTGGGCGCAGAGGGAAGGGTGATGAGGGCCCTGTGGTCTGGGTTGGCTCCTTGGAGAAGGAAGGTGTGTCCAAAAGTATGGCCGTGACTGCGGGAGCGCAGGTCGCCGCGCTTTAGTTCAAAAGGCAGGCAAGGGGACAGGTGTGGTTTGCACACTTTAAGGCGCTTAGGAGTTTGCCTTCTCTGATCCTCATAGATCCGTGCCGCCATAGGTCCCTGAAGGGTCCATGGTGACATAGCAGCCTCCTTTTAAAAAAAAAAAATTATATATATAATTGATTTCAGAGAGGAAGGGAGAGGGAGAGGGATCAATGATGAGAGAGAATCACTGATTGGCTGCCTCCTGCACGCCCCACACTGGGGATGAGCCTGCAACCTGGACATGTGCTCTTGACTGGAATCGAACCAGGGACCCATCAGTCTGCAGGCGGACACTCTATGCACTGAGCCAAACCGGCTGGGGCTTGCAGGCTCCATTTTTACCACCATGACCCTGGCAAGAGGTACAAAGCCAGGCAGCCCCTAGAACTGGTGCTGCATGCGCACGTGGTATATGACATGGTCATATTTGATTTTCAGACATGAGTGAGGCAGTTCATAACACCCCTGGTTTCAGCGGAGGAAACTAAGGCCTCAGAAGCACGAAATAACCTGAATTAGGTTAGCAGCAGACTCAGAGCAACCTGAGGCCTATGACACATCTAGATTTTTCCACTGCTCCGGGAAAGGCCGCACCTCCTACCTTAAAGGTAACCCGGGGAAATGAAGGAAAGAACCCGGCTGGTGTAGCTCAAAGGATTGCGCGTCATCTCATGGACCAAGAGGTCCCAGGTTCGATTCCCCATCTGGGCACATGCCAGGGTGGTGGGCTCGGTCCCCAGTGTAGGGCGTGCAGGAGGCAGCCGATCCATGATTCTCTCTCATAGATATTTCTGTATCTCCTCCCTCTCTGAAATCAATAAAAATATATTTTAAAAAAAAGAATAAAGGAAAGAAGAGAATGAGCCTTAAGGAGAAACAGCAACCACACCTTTAAAGCTGACTAACAAGGGAATTAAAATAGTAAGTGAACCCACAATAAAAGCTTTTTCCTTTTAACTCCGCTGCTGGGCAGTTCCTGTTCTGTGGTCCCCGCAGCCCGACCGCAAGTCAACATTGACTAACAGCCTTTTTCGATCATCAGATGCTAAGGAAAGTGAAACATCTGCAGACACAGAACTCTAAGGCCAGGCCTCGTTCCCCTCGCCGTCACATAGCCTCAGCCCAGCTTTAAGCTAAGCCCAGCTTTTTTTGTTTTTAATCATCCAAACACAGTATCTGCCTCTTTCTAGTCTGTTTTTGCCAAGGAAGAGTGGAATAATGCTGTTGCTTTAACTAAGTCAACTTCCCTACAAAACCACAAGCTGCACTTAGAACAGCAGTGGGACTCGCGTGGTGATAAAATATTCACTGCTCTGATGTTACATTCGATTTCTTCATTGAAACAGGTTCTGGACCAGGTCTTATGTTATAGACACTGTCAATGATGTCATAATTGTTACTTTTAAAAAATAAAATCTGCTTTTTTAAAAATATTTTTTCATTGATTTCAGAGAGGAAGGGAGAGGGAGGAAGAGAGAAACATCAGTGATGAGAATCATTGACCGGCTGCCGGCACGCCTCCTACTGGGGATTGAGTCCACAATCCGGGCATGTGCCCTGACTGGGACTCGAAACAGTGACCTCCTGTTCATAGGTTGATGCTCAACCACTGAGCCACACAGGCCAGGCCAAAATCGGCATTTTTAACAGGTGGTCTTCTCTGCCTTGCCTTTTGAATTTTCCACTTCCTAACAGGTATTTGGCCTCTGAAAAACAACTCTATTGTCAATATGATGAGGGAAGTGGAGAGTTCTCACCCTCCATGCCTCTATTAGTGTCCTACCAGATACAACTGTTTTATGTCTTAGACAACACGTGCATGGCTGCATGGCAATCTAATAATTTTTTAAAAAATATCTTTGTATTGATCTCAGAGAGGAAGGGGGAGGGAGGAAGAGAGAGAGACAGAAACATCAATGATGAGAGAGAATCATGGATGGGCTGCCTCCTGCACACCCCCTACTGGAGATCGAACCGAAGCCTCCTGGTTCATAGGTCGGCCCTCAACCACTGACCCACACGAGCCAGGCACAATCTAATAATCCCACCCGTGTTTTGAGATCTGAAATGGCAGGGGTGCCTTCTATGGGTCCCACGTGTGCTCCCTGGCTGTCAGAGATGATGACACACATTCAGAAACCGCAGTGCAGGTATGCTAGCAATGTCACTGCGCATCAGCAGTTTATATAGGATGTGTTGCCATGGCTGTAGGCGCCTAGGATCTAGCGCATGCGTGCAAGGCAACTTCTCTAAGAGAGAGAAGAGCCTGTTTGCCAATGCTTAGAAGCCAGAGCTCCGACCCCTCTCTGGCCCCAGGAAAGCAGGAAGGGGTGCCTGTGTCACCCGGCCCGAGCTGGGCGTGAGTCGGTCCAGGCCAGAGCTCGGGGCGAATCTTGTGAGGATAAGTCTCTCCAACGCCCAAGAGAAAGGCTTCTGAGATCTGCTAACAAGGGCATGCGGCGTTGGCACCTGCATCCCTCACATTTTCCTCCATTGCTGCTGCTTGTCACTTCTGGGCCAATAAAAGCTAAATAGGAAAAACAAACAATCAAGCCCAGCTGGTGTGGCTCAGTGGGTTGAGCATCAACCTATGAACCAGAAGGTCATGGTTCGATTCCCGGTCAGGGCACGTGCCCGGGTTGCAGGCTCGATCCCCAGCAGGGGGCGTGCAGGAGGCAGCTGATCCATGATTCTCTCTCATCACTGATGTTTCTCTCTCTCCCTCTCCCTTCCTCTCTGAAATCAATAAAAATATATCTTTTTAAAAAAAAAAGAAAGAAAAACAACTGAGATATAAATATGTAGGTCTAGACCTCGCAGGGTGTGAGGCCAGTGGGGTGGTCCAGGTAACAGGGCGTCCATTGTTCCAATGGCAGATGGCGAGTGCGTGTTATCAGGAAACCTATGTGCTTGGTTCACGGCGTGGAGGAAGTGGCATGGCTTTTATTGTTGGTGCAAAGAGTTTTTGTTATTATCTTGGCATTTTCCCTGCCCTATACGCGTCATTATGGAAAGCACAGCCCCTTTTTATAGTAGCAGGTGTGGGGAGACTACATTTAGTGACTCAGTCCAAACCCAACTCAGCCACTTACTGGAACGAGCTGTGGGCTTTCTCGCAGGTGGCTGGTAGGGATTCAGGTTTTTTTTGTTTGTTTGGTTGGTTGGGTTTTTTTAATAAAGGAGTTGCCCTGACAGAAAAGGAGTCTTTCTTCCCAATTGTTTAGAAAGACGACTCAATATAGAGCCTTTCTTTGGCAACCAACACCAGCGTTTCATTGTCTTATTAATAATAACCTTATGTAGTAAGTTTTTTTGAGTGCCTAGACGTATATTGAATATTAGCTAATGAGCTGGAAATGTTCACAATTAGTAAGTTGTTTGATGTTACACTTTTATGGGCATCGGAGCTTTTATGGGTAAGAATTCCATGGTCAGGATGGACATCTGGTAATCGTTGCTTTTAAAAAGTTAAAATTAGTCCCAGCTGGTGTGGCTCAGTGGATAGAGCATCGGCCTGTGGACTGAAGGGTCCCGGGTTCAATTCTGATCAAGGGCACATGCCTTGATTGCAGGCTCTATCCCTGGCTGGTTGGAGTACATGCGGGAGGCAACCAATCGATGTGTGTCTCTCACAGCGATGTTTCTCTCTCTCTCTCTCTCTCTCTCTCTCTCTCTCTCTCTCTCTCTCTCTCTCTCCCTTCCTCTCTGAAATCAATAAAAAATAAAATAAATAAAGTCCTGGTGACTGTATTGAGATGATCCAGGCAGAGGTTTTCATTCTGCCCCGGAATGCAAAGCCAGGCCTCCCCTCACAGCAGCTGGAGGGTTTACAACCTCCGGGTTCTAATAACACCACCGACTTTGTTTCCGTCTCTGATTTGACTCCCGGATGCTCGGAGTGGCTGCCGCTGTCCCAGATCCAGGAATGCTTTTTGGTCCATTGTGTAACAGAGGTGTCTTTTTCGACCTCGTTTTCCTAAGTCTGAGATGAAACTGGAGGGATTGCTCGGACCAGAATATTAGGATAATGACCAGTTCTCATGCAATACAATATCCATTCAGCCCGGCCGGCGTGGCTCAGGGGTTGAGCATAGACCGATGAACCAGGAGGTCAGGGTTCGATTCCCGGTCAGGGCACATGCCCGGGTTGTGGGCTCGATCCCCAGTGTGGGGCGTGCAAGAGGCAGCTGATCCATGATTCTCTCTCCTCATTGATGTATCTCTCTCCCTCCCTCTCCCTTCATCTCTGAAATCAATAAAAATATTTTTTTTAAAAAGAACGTGCCAAGCTCTACGGTAAATATCATGGCAATGAGACAGGCCCTGCCTTCTGGGACCTCACATTTCCGCGAAGGGCAGAGACATGGAAACAGTCAGACAGTGTCCGAGGGGGAGGAGCTGACAGCGGCTCCTGCAGGCCCAGCCGGCGGAGTAGAGTCAGGGACAGGAGGGCAGGTAGGAAAGGGACAAGGCAGCCAGCAGGCACAGGGACTCCACGCAGCCCCAAGTCGAGGAGGGAGATCCCCAGGGGTGACCTGTGCTCACATCACTGGCAACAGCACTCCCTCAACCAACGGGAGAAGATCCATCGGAAGCCAGACTTGTTTAGAGCTATTTCCATAAATTATTCACAAAGGCAATCAGAAAATTAAAATATAGCTGCACAGGGAGCAATCAGAACAAGACTCCGGGTGGAAGACTCTAACACATTTTGGACTTGCCGTCGCCAGTC